TCCGGCGGCTGAGAGGAAACACAGGCTGCGCCGAAGGTCCACCACTCGAATAAGTCGGGTGGACCGGGACAAAGATGTATCCCTAGCGGGGGACATCTAGAAGAGAAACAATCGATCGCTCAGGTTAAGCGAAACGATAATCCTAGATCGACTGGAGAGTCTTTCGTAGAGGATCTCGCTGTGGTTGCGCAACCACAGCTAGAGGAAGTAAAGGGAATAAGTCCCAATATTACAAATACGGTGAAAATAAGTTCCCCGAAACCCGCGGGAATAAGTCCCCGGGAAGCCGAAGGAATAAGTCCTTCGAAGCCTGAGGGAATAAGTCCCCAGGAAATGACAGAGACATTGAATGTCATAGTCAATAACGGATCAAGTGTAGGCGCTTATACACTTGATCTGATTGCGCCTCCGAAGTTGACTTCGGAGATCACTCAGTTTCCAACGCTCGAACAAAAAAAAAGGTTCTTGCGTGATCTGCGTAGTGGCAAAGTCAAGCAGATCTGCGTACTCGTCGCTGACGACGAGTGTGCAGCCGACAAAAGGTCAGCGACAGTGTTTACTGAGAACGAGAGAGTTCTCAGTAGTTCATCTATGGACGAGAGTGTCCTAGATGAAAAGACACGAATTGAGCGATATGACTCCCAATCATGGGAATCGCTCAAGACAAATCCTATCTTTGAAGATTTGGTTGAATTCAAGGATGTATTCCCTGAAACTGTCCCGTGCGAATTACCGAAGGATAAAGGTACTCGACACGACGTCGAGCTTAAACCAGGCTCGAAGTACTGTGTCATGAAGCAGTGCCACTGCCTCGTGAACAAGTACTTGCGATCGACAAGTTCTTTGCCGATCGTTTAGCTGCGGGCCATGTGAGGGAAAAATCAACTTCCCCACATAGCTCTCCGACCTTCTTTGTGCGAAAAGCAACAGGAGGGTGGCGTATTGTGCATGCATTTAAGAAGTTGAATGCTGCAACGGTACAGTCTCAGACGCCGATACCGAGGAAGGACGTAATCATTGATGGTTTGTCAAAGAGTACCATCTTTTCGTCCATGGATTTGATGGATGGCTTCGATCAAATCCTTATTCTAGAACGGTATATACCCTATACCGTAGTGATCACGCCTAGCGGCATGTCTGGGAATGGCTAGTAATGCCACAAGGGCTTAGTAATGCCCCTGCCACGTTCAACAGATATGTATCACATCTGTTGAAACCAGTACGAGAATTCGCGCCGAGTTATTTCGATGACGTATTCATCCATAGTCGAGCTATGGATGGAAATTCGGACGTTGAGGTTCACAGATACCACGTCCGACAGGTTCTTACAATCATGCATAAGCATCAATTGTATGCAAACCTCAAGCAGTGTATATTTGCAGCAAGCGAAATACCACTTCTTGGGTGCATCGTTGATAAGAACGGTGTACGTCCTGATCCCGAAAAGATCAAGGCGATCACCGAGTGGCCTGTGCCGGTTGATGTCAAAGGTCTTCGAAAGTTCCTTGGGTTAGCGGCGTATTTGCATAAGTATTCACGCAATTACGCCGAGATGACTGTGCACCTCTCTCGTTTGTTGAAAAAGAACGAGAGGTGGTTATGGAACGCTGAATGTCAGCGCTCCTTTGATGGTATCAAGAAGAGCTTGATACAATCCCCAGTCCTAGCAATAGCCGATCAGGACAGGCCATTTCATGTGGTCTGTGATGCCAGCGATTTCGCAATCGGCTGTGCATTAATGCAGTACGATCTTGAAGGCGTTGAACGCGTCGTCTGCTATAAGTCGCGTCAACTGCAACCAGCTGAGCGGAACTATCCAGTGCATGACAAGGAACCCTTTGCCATGAAGTATGCACTCGCGAAGTTCAGAGTCTATCTATTAGGAGATAGACCCTTCATTGTTTACACAGACCATGCGTCGTTACGCACGGCAGTGAACAGCCCGCACCTTTCACAACGAATGGCGCGGTGGTTGTCATTCTTTGCAGAATACAACTTTACGGTCGAGTACAAACCAGGACGACTTAATGTCGTCGCTGATGCACTCTCACGTCGTCCCGACTTTGAACCAGTCGTAAAACCCAACAGTGAGGCAGTCACTGTTGCGGTTATGACGTCCTCAGTCCCATCTACAACGTTGTATGATGATGTGAGGAGGGCATACGCCCAAGATGGTGAGATTGTGAAGCTGTTGACACATCTCTCACAGCCATCTTGAGAATCGTTGAAACGATTGTCGTCTGCGTATCGATCTGCATTAGATCGATGCACTACTTGCAACGGGTTACTGTATTATACAGCCGTTTCTGGTGACACACCACGTGTTGTCATCCCTGATGATACTGATCTACGTTTGCGGATCATGTTCGAGTATCACGATGCTCCTATAGGAGGACATCGTGGCCGCGAGAAAACATATCTCACGGTGAGTCGAGCCTTTTACTGGCCCCGCCAGTATCAGTTTGTGCGAAAGCATGTTCACGCCTGCAAAGTCTGTCAACGAGTGAAGTCAAGTCCTTCACTGCGTGCACCTTTGCAGCCTCTACCAGTTCTGGCAGAGTGCTGGGAATCCACCTCAATAGATTTTTTCTTCGGGTTAACCAAAGACGCACGCAAGAATACGGGTATTCTTGTATTTGTTGACAGATTCAGCAAAATGCTACACCTTGTGGCTGTACCAGAGACAATCACGGCAAGTGGCTGTGCTTGTGTCTTTATTGACACCATCTTCCGACTTCATGGGTTGTCCCGTGAACTCGTATCAGACAGAGATCCACGATTCACTGCTGATTTCTGGCGCTCCGTGTTCAAATCACTCGGAACGCGCTTGAAGATGTCGATATCTGATCATCCAGAGTCAGATGGTCAGACGGAACGTGCCAATCGTGTCCTCGAAGAGATACGTCGAGGATACGTACACTCCGTTAAGAGTTGGAGTGAGTTCTTGCCAATGGTAGAGTTTACCATTAACAGCTCGGTACATGCGTCCACGACACATACACCGTTTTACATGAATGGCTTGCGCCATCCGCGTGTACCCACCTTACTCGAGTGTAACTCTGGTTTAAGGGGGGGAGGGACTCGCGCGAGCAAAAACCGATTTGGTTCACGCTCTTCACGCTCTGACGATGAGGTCATTGCGTTTGATGCCGATATCGACAACATCGATATCGAAGAAGATGATGCCACTGAGAGTGCGGAAGCCCTCACTGAAGAAAAGGTTGATGTTGCTGCAGTGCGCTCACAGCGCACTGAAGCTAACGAGTCATCAGATGAGTTCATACTGGCTCGTGAAACGGTAGTCCGTTTTGTGCAAGATTCCATCGCCGAAGCGGTGGATAAGCAAAAGCAAAACGCTGACAAGAATGGAAGGGCAAACACTCTTTTATTTAATAAAGGTGACTTAGTCCTACTGTCTACGGTTAATCTACCAAAGCATGTAGTGACTAACTTGGGTAGCAGTAAACTACTACCCAAGTACATCGGCCCATTTCGTGTATTGCACCGCCTAGGCAATGCATACACGATCGAGTTGCCACGTAAGATGCGAACGCATCCCACGTTTTACGTTGGTCGGCTTAAGCCGTACCATCAGTACGCTGCTTCTTCCGATGAAGAACGCCCTAGCGCTCAAGCATCTCTCAGAGAGCCTTGTGCTCCCGATGATGGGCATCGACTAGGATCTGGAGAGCAGATATCTCATCTCGAGACCGATCAACAATCCCACGAGCTACTCTTAGCTCGTTACGAAGAGATGTCAGAGCTCTCTCGTTCTCAAGCTGAGCAAAGGCAAACTCAGCTCGATCCTCCAAGACAGCGTCCGCCAGTTGGAGACGCCTGTCCCTCTCATGTTCGAGATCGTTGCGTAACCCTTGCGTTACGCGATCAAAGAAGCTCTCGGGAACACACGGATCCCCACGATCGTGTGGAGAGCGTCTTCCCTCCTCCTCCACCTCCATTAGAGGACTCTCGCGGTGGCCAGCGCTATCTAGTTGAGCAGCTGTTGAACCACCGCGACGTGAACGGACGTCGGACGAGTTATCTCGTCCGGTGGCGCGGCTATCCCCCGTCCTGGGATACTTGGGAGCCCCGCTCCCAACTGATGGTTGACGTACTGGGTCTGGTTGAGCAGTACGACGCGGCACATCCTGTGCCGCAGAAGGACCGCCGGAGAAAGTCTTCCCGGCACGGTCGTAAAGGGATTTCAGGTTGTCAATCCCTTCGTACATCTCACTAGAGATACGTACGCACCACCACGGGCTAGTAAGGAGGTAAGCCTCCTTAGGTGCTCGTGCAGAGTTGTTCACACAACATGGGCACGAGTCTCCCCAAGAGAGGCAGGGTAATCCCTTCTCCCTTGACAGACGATGCAGCTTGTAGCGTGCACCTGTCGGGGTTCGCTTTTCAAACTTATCACGAGCTTTGATAAGTTTGTCGTTCCAAGCGTCACGACCTACATCCTCAAGGTTATGGATGTAGGCGTTCCACGCTTGAAGCAGTGAGGGACCATCACGTTTGTGATTCCCACTGTACCATCAATGTCTAAAGAAAGCATCGATGAAGAAATCATTCTCAGCGCGATAGTTTTTCGCGCTGGGGTCAAGGTGATGGATCCTTGACGAATCGAACAAACGTGTTCGATAACGATCACTCGTCGTCGCCGACAAGTGATCCATGACTGACTTTATAGGCATCCATGCCTTCTTCTCGGGAGCGAGACGCAAGACATTGTGGTCCCGCTCTTCCTGCGACGTGCCGACAGAAGCACTGGCACCTCGTTGCGAAGTGGTGTCAATAGGAGAACCGACACCACTGTTAGCGCCCAAGTCTTGCGATCTCGAACGCCTTCGCTTTGGCGATGGTTTGTCTGATTCGTCAGACGAACCAAAGATACTACGACGCATAGAATCATCCATGCCACGCTTGACAGGCGGCTTGGATTCGATCACCGTCGATACGGATCCGTCTTCCGTATCAGGAGAGTATGAGACTCCGAGCTCTTACTCTGTGAAGACATGAGTGACTTCATGACCAGCATCTGCATCGCCAAGTGACACAGGCTGAGTCGCTTCAGCAACCGATGAGACCTCAGTTGCTGTGGTTTCTGCTTCGGCATCCGCGCAGAGACGTGCAGACGCGCTCTCGGCGGCCTTGCTCGCGCATCGCATGGGCTTGTTAAATATGTGATGAGATGTTGGAAAGTGGACTCTGACCAACAAGTGCAAACCCTGTCCCAAATGATTTGGGACGAGTATCCATTGAGTCAATGAGTCACTAAAGTGACTGATGGTTAAAGGGGGGGTGATGTTACGGGGTGGATCGTTACATAACAATTTATAAGAAATTGTTAACAGAATATAACTATGAGAGTTACATTCTCAGAATATTGCCATGAGGACAAATATTCTGGAGCACTTACGAGTGGTTCCTAATTGGTTGATATAGGCCATTATATCAACCAACGAAGACGCGCCACGACAGACGCACGCAATGAGTGGTGAGCAGATTGTTGATATGCACATTTGTATTCAGACATAGTTAGATGAGGATAAATAGTGGATTTATTGACAGACATTAACTATTATAAATACAGTTCTACTTTTTACTCTAACCAAGTACTCGCTTCTTCTTACCGTCTTCCTCTGCACGTACGAGTGTACGTGAAGTCACGAGGCACCGACTTATTCTGTCATCAGAATAAGTAGCTTGTACTGTCACCAGTGCAAGCTTTAGGGTGCCCCGTTACAAATGCGCTTAGCTATTCGACGCGACGTGCGATGCGGGAGCGAGACATGCTTGATGTAACGGGGCACCCTGGAGCTTGTACTGGTGACAGTACAAGCTACTTATTCTGATGACAGAATAAGGCGGTGCCTCGGAACTTCAAGTACACTCGTACGTGCAGAGGAAGACGGTAAGAAGAGGCGAGTACTTGGTTAAAGTAAAAAGTAGAACTGTATTTATAATAGTTAATGTCTGTCAATAAATCACTATTTATCTTCATCTAACTATGTCTGAATACAAATGTGCATATCAACAATCTGCTCACCACTCATTGCGTGCGTCTGTCGTGGCGCGTCTTCGTTGGTTGATATAATGGCCTATATCAACCAATTAGGAACTACTCGTAAGTGCTCCAGAATATTTGTCCTCATGGCAATATTCTGAGAATGTAACTCTCATAGTTATATTCTGTTAACAATTTCTTATAAATTGTTATGTAACGATCCACCCCGTAACATCACCCCCCCCTTTAACCATCAGTCACTTTAGTGACTCATTGACTCAATGGATACTCGTCCCAAATCATTTGGGACAGGGTTTGCACTTGTTGGTCAGAGTCCACTTTCCAACATCTCATCACATATTTAACAAGCCCATGCGATGCGCGAGCAAGGCCGCCGAGAGCGCGTCTGCACGTCTCTGTGCGGACGCCGAAGCAGAAACAACAGCAACTGATGTCCCATCGGTTGCTGAAGCGACTCAGCCTGTGTCACTTGGCGATGCAGATGCTGGTCATGAAGTCACTCATGTCTTCACAGAGTAAGAGCTCGGAGTCTCATACTCTCCTGATACGGAAGACGGATCCGTATCGACGGTGATCGAATCCAAGCCGCCTGTCAAGCGTGGCATGGATGATTCTATGCGTCGTAGTATCTTTGGTTCGTCTGACGAATCAGACAAACCATCGCCAAAGCGAAGGCGTTCGAGATCGCAAGACTTGGGCGCTAACAGTGGTGTCGGTTCTCCTATTGACACCACTTCGCAACGAGGTGCCAGTACTTCTGTCGGCACGTCGCAGGAAGAGCGGGACCGCAATGTCTTGCGTCTCGCTCCCGAGAAGAAGGCATGGATGCCTATAAAGTCAGTCATGGATCACTTGTCGGCGACGACGAGTGATCGTTATCGAACACGTTTGTTCGATTCGTCAAGGATCCATCACCTTGACCCCAGCGCGAAAAACTATCGCGCTGAGAACGATTTCTTCATCGATGCTTTCTTTAAACATCGACGGTACAGTGGGAATCACAAACGTGATGGTCCTTCACTGCTTCAAGCGTGGAACACTTACATCCATAACCTTGAGGATGTAGGTCGTGACGCTTGGAACGACAAACTTAGCAAGGCTCGTGATAAGTTTGAAAAGCGAACCCCGACAGGTGCACGCTACAAGCTGCATCGTCTGTCAAGGGAGAAGGGATTACCCTGCCTCTCTTGGGGAGACTCGTGCCCATGTTGTGTGAACAACTCTGCACGAGCACCTAAGGAGGCTTACCTCCTTACTAGCCCGTGGTGGCGCGTACGTATCTCTAGTGAGATGTACGAAGGGATTGACAACCTGAAATCCCTTTACGACCGTGCCGGGAAGACTTTCTCCGGCGGTCCTTCTGCGGCACAGGATTTGCCGCGTCGTACTGCTCAACCAGACCCAGTACGTCAACCATCAGTTGGGAGCGGGGCTCCCAAGTATCCCAGGACGGGGGATAGCCGCGCCACCGGACGAGATAACTCGTCCGACGTCCGTTCACGTCGCGGTGGTTCAACAGCTGCTCAACTAGATAGCGCTGGCCACCGCGAGAGTCCTCTAATGGAGGTGGAGGAGGAGGGAAGACGCTCTTCACACGATCGTGGGGATCCGTGTGTTCCCGAGAGCTTCTTTGATCGCGTAACGCAAGGGTTACGCAACGATCTCGAACATGAGCGGGACAGGCGTCTCCAACTGGCGGACGCTGTCTTGGAGGATCGAGCTGAGTTTGCCTTTGCTCAGCTTGAGAACGAGAGAGCTCTGACATCTCTTCGTAACGAGCTAAGAGTAGCTCGTGGGATTGTTGATCGGTCTCGAGATGAGATATCTGCTCTCCAGATCCTAGTCGATGCCCATCATCGGGAGCACAAGGCTCTCTGAGAGATGCTTGAGCGCTAGGGCGTTCTTCATCGGAAGAAGCAGCGTACTGATGGTACGGCTTAAGCCGACCGACGTAAAACGTTGGATGCGTTCGCATCTTACGTGGCAACTCGATCGTGTATGCATTGCCTAGGCGGTGCAATACACGAAATGGGCCGATGTACTTGGGTAGTAGTTTACTGCTACCCAAGTTAGTCACTACATGCTTTGGTAGATTAACCGTAGACAGTAGGACTAAGTCACCTTTATTAAATAAAAGAGTGTTTGCCCTTCCATTCTTGTCAGCGTTTTGCTTTTGCTTATCCACCGCTTCGGCGATGGAATCTTGCACAAAACGGACTACCGTTTCACGAGCCATTATGAACTCATCTGATGACTCGTTAGCTTCAGTGCGCTGTGAGCGCACTGCAGCAACATCAACCTTTTCTTCAGTGAGGGCTTCCGCACTCTCAGTGGCATCATCTTCTTCGATATCGATGTTGTCGATATCGGCATCAAACGCAATGACCTCATCGTCAGAGCGTGAAGAGCGTGAACCAAATCGGTTTTTGCTCGCGCGAGTCCCTCCCCCCCTTAAACCAGAGTTACACTCGAGTAAGGTGGGTACACGCGGATGGCGCAAGCCATTCATGTAAAACGGTGTATGTGTCGTGGACGCATGTACCGAGCTGTTAATGGTAAACTCTACCATTGGCAAGAACTCACTCCAACTCTAAAAGGAGTGTACGTATCCTCGACGTATCTCTTCGAGGACACGATTGGCACGTTCCGTCTGACCATCTGACTCTGGATGATCAGATATCGACATCTTCAAGCGCGTTCCGAGTGATTTGAACACGGAGCGCCAGAAATCAGCAGTGAATCGTGGATCTCTGTCTGATACGAGTTCACGGGGCAACCCATGAAGTCGGAAGATGGTGTCAATAAAGACACAAGCACAGCCACTTGCCGTGATTGTCTCTGGTACAGCCACAAGGTGTAGCATTTTGCTGAATCTGTCAACAAATACAAGAACACCCGTATTCTTGCGTGCGTCTTTGGGTAACCCGAAGAAGAAATCCATTGAGGTGGATTCCCAGCACTCTGCCAGAACTGGTAGAGGCTGCAAAGGTGCACGCAGTGAAGGACTTGACTTCACTCGTTGACAGACTTTGCAGGCGTGAACATGCTTTCGCACAAACTGATACTGGCGGGGCCAGTAAAAGGTTCGACTCACCGTGAGATATGTTTTCTCGCGGCCACGATGTCCTCCTATAGGAGCATCGTGATACTCGAACATGATCCGCAAACGTAGATCAGTATCATCAGGGATGACAACACGTGGTGTGTCACCAGAAACGGCTGTATAATACAGTAACCCGTTGCAAGTAGTGCATCGATCTAATGCAGATCGATACGCAGACGATAACGGTTTCAACGATTCTCAAGATGGCTGTGAGAGATGTGTCAACAGCTTCACAATCTCACCATCTTGGGCGTATGCCCTCCTCACATCATCATACAACGTTGTAGATGGGACTGAGGACGTCATAACCGCAACAGTGACTGCCTCACTGTTGGGTTTTACGACTGGTTCAAAGTCGGGACGACGTGAGAGTGCATCAGCGACGACATTAATTCGTCCTGGTTTGTATTCGACCGTAAAGTTGTATTCTGCAAAGAATGACAACCACCGCGCCATTCGTTGTGAAAGGTGCGGGCTGTTCACTGCCGTGCGTAACGACGCATGGTCTGTGTAAACAATGAAGGGTCTATCTCCTAATAGATAGACTCTGAACTTCGCGAGTGCATACTTCATGGCAAGGGGTTCCTTGTCATGCACTGGATAGTTTCGCTCAGCTGGTTGTAGCTGACGCGGCTGATAGCAGACGACGCGTTCAACGCCTTCAAGATCGTACTGCATTAATGCACAGCCAATTGCGAAATCGCTGGCATCACAGACCACATGAAATGGCCTGTCCTGATCGGCTATTGCTAGGACTCGGGATTGTATCAAGCTCTTCTTGATACCATCAAAGGAGCGCTGACATTCAGCGTTCCATAACCACCTCTCGTTCTTTTTCAACAAACGAGAGAGGTGCACAGTCATCTCGGCGTAATTGCGTGAATACTTATGCAAATACGCCGCTAACCCAAGGAACTTTCGAAGACCTTTGACATCAACCGGCACAGGCCACTCGGTGATCGCCTTGATCTTTTCGGGATCAGGACGTACACCGTTCTTATCAACGATGCACCCAAGAAGTGGTATTTCGCTTGCTGCAAATATACACTGCTTGAGGTTTGCATACAATTGATGCTTATGCATGATTGTAAGAACCTGTCGGACGTGGTATCTGTGAACCTCAACGTCCGAATTTCCATCCATAGCTCGACTATGGATGAATACGTCATCGAAATAACTCGGCGCGAATTCTCGTACTGGTTTCAACAGATGTGATACACATCTGTTGAACGTGGCAGGGGCATTACTAAGCCCTTGTGGCATTACTAGCCATTCCCAGACATGCCGCTAGGCGTGATCACTACGGTATAGGGTATGTCCCGTTCCCGCATAAGGATTTGATAGAAGCCATCCATCAAATCCATGGACGAAAAGATGGTACTCTTTGACATACCATCAATGATTACGTCCTTCCTTGGTATCGGCGTCTGAGACCGTACCGTTGCATCATTCAACTTATTAAATGCATGCACAATCCGCTACCCTCCTGTTGCTGTTTGCACACAGAAGGTCGGAGAGATATGTGGGGAAGTTGATTCCCTCACATGGCCCGCAGCTAAACGATCGGCAAAGAACTTGTCGATCGCAAGTACTTGTTCACGAGGCAGTGGCCACTGCTTCATGACACAGTACTTCGAGCCTGGTTTAAGCTCGACCTCGTGTCGAGTACCTTTATCCTTCGGTAATTCGCACGGAACAGTTTCAGGGAATACATCCTTGAATTCAACCAAATCTTCAAAGATAGGATTTGTCTTGAGCGATTCCCATGATTGGGAGTCATATCGCTCAATTCGTGTCTTTTCATCTAGGACACTCTCGTCCATAGATGAACTACTGAGAACTCTCTCGTTCTCAGTAAACACTGTCGCTGACCTTTTGTCGGCTGCACACTCGTCGTCAGCGACGAGTACGCAGATCTGCTTGACTTTGCCACTACGCAGATCACGCAAGAACCTTTTTTTTTGTTCGAGCGTTGGCAACTGAGTGATCTCCGAAGTCAACTTCGGAGGCGCAATCAGATCAAGTGTATAAGCGCCTACACTTGATCCGTTATTGACTATGACATTCAATGTCTCTGTCATTTCCTGGGGACTTATTCCCTCAGGCCTCGAAGGACTTATTCCTTCGGCTTCCCGGGGACTTATTCCCTCGGATTTCGGGGAACTTATTTCCGCCGTATTTGTAATATCGGGACTTATTCCCTTTACTCCTCTAGCTGTGGTTGCGCAACCACAGCGAGATCCTCTACGAAAGACTCTCCAGTCGATCTAGGATTATCGTTTCACTTAACCTGAGCGATCGATTGTTTCTCTTCTAGATGTTCCCCGCTAGGGATACATCTTTGTCCCGGTCCACTCGACTTGTTCGAGTGGTGGACCTTCGGCGCAGCCTGTGTTTCCTCACAGCCGCCGGAACTTTGCTCCGAAGTGTAACCGTTTGGTACACTTAGGTTTTATGCAGTCGTACTAACGACCGTACCACAAGTGAGACCATCGCACTCACTCGTAGTACATCCACACGCTTGTGGACGCTCCAAAACGTTCATCAGATGGCCATCTGATGAACAAGCGGCAGGCATCGTTACTGTTCGATGTTGCCAGTTTACCCGTGGTTCATACCTTATGAGCCACGGTATTCCAAGGATGACATCGAATTTGTCATCCAAATCCAATACGATAAAGTCATCGTCATATTGGGTATCTTTTAACGTATAGTGGATCTTCACTATACGCTTCATGTCGGTTACGGATGCGCCTGTCGCAAGACGTACCATCATCCTCGTTGGAGGTGTGTCACATTCACTGAACTCGAAGTGACCATCTTCTAGTGATTGACGTTGCACAAAATTGTCGGACGCCCCACAATCGACTAGAGCTCGAAGGGACAACTTATTCGTCACTTCGAGTTTCAAGGTAATGAGTGAGATCTCATTACCTGGAGCAGCAACACACAATGTTTGTGTGTTGGGAGCAACCTTCGTCAAGAGACCTACAAATTCTCTTGACGTTGCTGGACCAGTAGGGTGCTCCGCACCTACTGATCCTGTCCGTTTTTTGACGGTCTATCCCGTTGTTGCGTCTTTGCACCAACGGCGGACCCTCGTCCCTGCCCCTTTCTCATGGGTGGACGGTCACTACGCCCAGTGTTGCGAGACACTGGACGATTGGCACTACACTCGTAAGCCGTAGTGTCCTGTCTTGTGACATCTGTTGCATCTCTGCAACTTCTTGAAGTCTGTAGAGTGAACCTTCTCGCTCTCTACATAACAGAGTTCCATCGGCTCTGGACCTCCGCTGTCATATCGTCTCGGTTGACGATATGATGTCGAGCTGGCGCGAGCCTGTCTCAGACTGAAGTCTTCCTGTTCCGCAATAAAAATGGCTTGTTCTAGTGAATCTAGTTCAAGCCGGAACAGGTGAGTCTTGACGGGACCATCCGCAAGACCCTGCATGAACACCGAAACCAACGTGTGTTCATCCACTGGGTTGGAACTAATACAACTCGTGAGATGTCGTATATGTTGCGCGTAAGCGTGCACATCACGCTTACCCTGTTTGAGCTTCAAGATTTCGGTTCGAGCTCTGAACTCAGCTCTAGGCGGTTCAAACGTTTGTCTTAGCCGCGACTTGAAGACTTCTAACGACCCAAACGCATATGGGTCGTGCAACTTGAGTCCCAGTGCCCAAGTCTTGGCACGTCCTGCCATGTTTGATTGGGCAAATGCAACTTGCATATCCCCGTCGTTCATGCGACGCGCCATTATGGCGTCGTCCAATTCGACAAACCATCTCAAGAGGGAGTCCTCTTCGACTCCCCTATACTTGGAGATGTCAATCTTCAAGGTCTCGGGTCGACGCGAGTGCATCGACCCACCAGCAGCAGCCTGCTGCTGTCTCAACAGTTCAAACTGTTGAGCACCCTGTTCTCTCAACAACTCTGCTTGTTGAGAACCTTGTTGGTGAAGCAAGGATACTTTCTCGCGTTCAGCGTCAAGCTCATTTTGAGTGAACTTGTCGATAGTAGCATGTTGGGCATCTCTATTGAGAGCCTCTAGCATGACGCTAACAGCATGGATGCCCATGGTTGAACCCATCCGTTCAACCGCATCCCATTCGACATCGCTCAAATGGGAGTAGCCGTCACGCGTAGCGTGAAAGCTTTGGTCATCTTCATCATCCAACACATTCGTGTTGGATGTGAACGTGGTCCTTGGACGCACTACGAAGTGCTACCAGGTGTAACGGGGCACCCTGAAGCTTGTACTGGTGACAGTACAAGCTACCTATTCTGATGACAGACTAAGACGGTGCCTCGGAACTTCACGTACACTCGTACGTGCAGAGGAAGACGGTAAGAAGAAGCAAGTACTTGGTTAAAGTAAAAAGTAGAACTGTATTTATAATAGTTAATGTCTGTCAATAAATCACTATTTATCCTCATCTAACTATGTCTGAATACAAATGTGCATATCAACTATCTGCTCACCACTCATTGCGTGCGTCTGTCGTGGCGCGTCTTCGTTGGTTGATATAATGGCCTATATCAACCAATTAGGAACTACTCGTAAGTGCTACAGAATGTTTGTCCTTATGACAATATTCTGAGAATATAACTCTCACAGTTGTATTCTATAAGCAATTTCTTATAAATTGTTATGCAACGATTCACCCCGTTACAGCATTCGCCAGCTATATAGCGCTTCTTTATAAACGCGATTTTCTTATTAAAGAAATATAAGGTGATGTAAACTAAATCATTAGTAAGCTGGTGCTGATTCTGAGACAGGTGCTGATGATGAGACTTTTGGCCAATGGTGCTGATAGTGAGATTTACTGAACTAAGACCTCTCCTGTCTAATGGCTGAAATTAGTCAGCCCCTATAAGCCGATAAGATATTCTATACTTCTTTTAGTGGGAAATCATCCGTGTGTCTGAGACACAGGGTACCAAGTACCCAACTACGAGTAACTGTTTTACAGAGTAGAACAGAGTTACGCATATGTAGCTGATCGGTAAAAGTCCCACCCACATAAGCGGAAGCAGTACGAGCAGAAGCACGAGCAAAGAAGAACAGGCAGAGATGCAGTAAACAGAGGCATACAAATGTAGCTGATCGGTGATAGTCTCACTCACATAAACGGAAGTAGTACGAGCAGAAGCACGAGCAGAGAAGAACAGGCAGAGATGCAGTAGAACAGAGGTATACAAATGTAGCTGATCGGTGAAAGTCTCACTCACATAAACGGAAGCAGTACGAGCAGAAGCACGAGCAGAGACGAACAGGCAGAGATGCAGTAGAACAGAGGCATGCAAATGTAGCTGATCGGTGAAAGTCCCACTCACATCAACGAAAGCAGTAGGGGCAGAAGCACGAGCAGAGACGAACAGGCAGAGATGCAGTAGAACAGAGGCATGCAAATGTAGCTGATCGGTGACAGTCTCACTCTTAAAAATGGAAGCAGTAGGGGCAGAAGCACGAGCAAAGAAGAACAGGCAGAGATGCAGTAGAACAGAGGTATGCAAAAGCAGCTGATCGGTGACAAATCCACCACAAAAACGGAAGCAGAAGGGGCAGAAGCACGAGCAGAGACAAACAGGCAGAGATGCAGTAGAATAGAGGTATGCAAATGTAGGTGATCGGTGAAAGTCCCACTCACATCAACGGAAGCAGTTGTTGTAAGTGCATGATGCACTGGATTCGACTCCAGAGATTCGACCCATGATAGGGTATGTCTAGAACGTTCTTTAGGGTTCTATGCATTATTATAGGTCGTACGGCAGCTAGACGTATGGATAGTTATCACTTGTAGATTGACAAACCACTGATGAGGCCCCCGGCGGGGGGCCGAAACGCGTCTGGTGCGCGGTAACATACAAGTCATTTACTTTACTTAACTCCTACTTTTTTACAGCAGTAGGGGCAGAAGCACGAGCAGAGAAGAACAGGCAGAGATGCAGCAAACAGAGGTATACAAATGCAGCTGATCGGTGACAATTCCACCACATAAACGGAAGCTGTACGAGCAGAAGCACGAGCAGAAGCACGAGCAGAGACGAACATGCAGAGATGCAGTAGAACAGAGGTATACAAATGCAGCTGATCGGTGACAATTCCACCACATAAACGGAAGCAGTACGAGCAGAAGCACGAGCAGAAGCACGAGCAGAGACGAACATGCAGAGATGCAGTAGAACAGAGGTATACAAATGCAGCTGATCGGTGACAGTCTCACCCACGTAAACGGAAGCAGAAGGGGCAGATGCACGAGAAGAGAAGAATAGGCAGAGATGCAGTAGAACAGAGGTATACAAATGTAGCTGATCGGTGAAAGTCTCACTCACATAAACGGAAGCAGTACGAGCAGAAGCACGAGCAAAGAAGAACAGGCAGAGATGCAGTAGAACAGAGGCATACAAATGCAGCTGATCGGTGAAAGTCCCACTCACATAAACGGAAGCAGTACGAGCAGAAGCACGAGCGAAGATGAACAGGCAGAGACGTAGTATCACAGAGGTTTGCATCACGTAAGTTGCAGCTGCAGCCCTGAAAGGTGAGACACATGGCAGTAATTTGAAATAACGAGCGAATATAAGAAGGACAACGCAAATTCAGATTTTCGGAGGAATACTCGAATAAGGGACCTTTCGCGCATTTGTATACGACATACATTGTCTGTATTGAATTCCGGCCCTGCGGCCACAGCAAGTAGCAATCAAATATTTCTTCAGCTTAAACAGGTATGGCACATCCGATTGGCACGAGGGGCCAGCTCACGCAATGCCAGCCGTTTCTTTTTTTCGAGTCGCTAGCTATAGAGGTTTGAACTAAAGCTCATTGCGCTATTTGCTCTTAACCGGAAAGATGCGTCTCGATTTTCTACTTCTTCTAATCTCTGCGTCCGCTGACCATGCGCTGTCGATCCGATCGTCCATGGGCCTAGTTGATCCAAGCACCGTCACTCTCTCGTCTTCGGATTTCAACACTGAAAAAAGAGTCGCTCGTCAACTTCGTCTACGTGAGGTCAAGGAGAACGAGGCCAGAGGTCTCCCCCAAGAACTAGAGTCAATGGTTCGTGTTGCTGTGAACAGCATAATTTCTGAAGAAGATTTCAAGTTTCTCTGCAAACATTTCGAGGATGAACGTCCTCTTGCCATTCTTCTGGACAAACACGGGGCGTCTATGAAGGTAGCTGATCAGTACCGTGATATGTTGGAGAGCCTTGTCCGCCCCGTAGCTTACGATCCACAAGCTAGCCTCTAAGTCATCCGTGGCGTCTGCATCAGTCTGTCATACTTGCAGCAGCTAATCAGCATCAATAACAATATCAGTTGGGTTTTAACTTTTCTCGCGCCTTTTCTTTCCATTCACTAGCCGTCCAAATTGTTCGTGGTGGTAGTGCAGTGTAAAACCAGACATCCTTACAAGTATTCATGTGATTTGGTTGTGTTTCCCTGGTCAAAGATTTAGGGGAAATGTTGAACGTACCGGTCGTGAGTGCGTCATGGTGCCGGCGATTGTGTGGGCCATTAAAAACTACTTTTCCATCAATATCTGTTTTTACCCAGTCTAAATCTGACGAGACCATTCTAATTCTCAATATTTCGTCTCATTCAAATGTTTAATCGTATTTGCTTTTATGTAGGTCGCTGGAATGCGGCCAGATGCTAAAGCTGAGATAATAAAAGAAACGCAGAGAAGTGTGGTTGGACACATTCGAAAATCTCTTGTATATTTTAACTCTTTATGTGCAGTACTATTATTACGGTGCACACAGCATTTGTCAAAGGCGTATTAATGCATTTCCGTGAATGTTTATGCGTGTCGTTTTGCTTTCTATTCAAGCTAACGTCTGTCATTGTCCACACACATCAAAGAATCGTCTGTTATTGCCTATTATGTTGCATACCTCAACCTTGATTGCCTTACATCTGGCTGCTTTGACGGATTCGGGTCGTCGTTGTTGTCGTGGTCACTGTGAGTGGCATTTTCTCTGACGAAATTATTGTCGACCGAATCATTCGTAATCCATGCTGTAATGAACGTACTGTACGAATTTTTAAACAGGTCTATCAATTATACTGTAAAGACTGCATTCACCATAATTGTAACGGGGTAGCCCGTTACATGATGTTGACATCAAATGGTGTCAATAGGGAGATTGCCTAGCGTGCCAGTTCCATGCAAAATCACTCAAAATAAATGATATTGAAGGAATTTTATCCCCGGAGTATAATATCCATGCGCTGATCAAGATTGGTTAATACAAGACATATCAACCAAAGGTACAACTGATCGCCGCCAGAAGCGCGTACTGAGTGGTGAGCAGGTTGCCGTCAGACGACAATGTAAGTTAATATAGTTGGATAAAGACCGGAGATATATGGATAGTTTAACTATATCAGATACAGTTCTCTTTTTACCCTTTACTCAAACTAGCAGTTTGAGTAGATCGGTTTCCTCTGCACGTACGAGTGTACGCGAAGTTTCTTAGCACCCCAAATAAAAGGTCCTTGTTAGGACTTGTGTAGTCATTTCTACCTAAACCATAAATGATAGTTGAATGGCATGGATGTGTACGCATGAAACAAGTGTATTGTTCCTTTCGCGAGAAGTACTGGCTTATAATCTCCACTCTGTTTTGTTTTTGTTGACGTATGTTTTATCTCTGTGCTATCTCAACATTCACGTTGTAGCTCATTGCTTTCCTGTAACCGCCTTACAGCAAATTCGATTGAGATAGGGAAGCGCTCCGGACTCATCCCTGATATAATTAATTCAGTTTACAAAACTGAATCAAATGCAAAGCATTATAGAGCAGCAGTGACTGAAGAACAAATGGATGCTGTTAATTTTTGTATTAACCCAGTACAGAATGTTAGGACAACGTGATCGGCCTGTGCTTGTGAGCGTCTAGCATGTGCTTGTGTGATCGTATTCACCTTCGATCAATTTTAAGCCAATCATGTACGTTCGCCACAATAGTGACCTAGCTAGAGAGTGACTTCTTTTATGCTAACTGACCTATGAGTGGGGACAGGCTATACCGGACTCAGGGAGAGTAAGGTACACACCACTGCGCTATTTACTGACATACGCACAGACAGATAGGTAAAGTTTACAAATCCGGTATTCAAACTTGTGCACACTCACAGATAGCGTCAAGACTCGGGCTTGCAATAAATTCGAAGTAGCGTAGGTATCTCAAAAGTATAATGGCGTCATTAGAAATGGACTGGGTACAATAGATTTTGATTGAAAATGTTTTTGATTAGCCAGAACAAATGCGTACACACCCAGTTGACATGTTTAAATGAATCGTTTGCCACAAATTCATAATGTAAATACATACAATAACAAGTTGTGGAATGATATATTTAGGTACGCGCCCACCCTTTAATACGTACACATTTATGGAAATGTCAAAAATATCAGTTGCCACACGTTGTAACGTAATGCATAAAAATTTGAGTTAACTATTCTCTATTAAACAAGCGAAGAATTTATGTAACGGAGCACCCTTTGTTTGGGGCGCCGCGAACTTCACGTGCACTGGTACGTGCAGAGGAATGTAATCCATTCAACGACTAAGCTGAGTAAATGGTAAAAGAGAACCGTATTTAATGTAGTGAAGCAATCAATATAACTTCAGTCTTTATCTAACTGTGTTAAACTACGTCGTCGCATGACGAAAACCTGCTCACCACTCATTGCGCACGTCTAGCAGCGATTGGTGGTAATCTATGGGTGATATGTCATTTATCAACCAATCGTTGAGCAGCGCATGAATACAATCCTGGAAGGGAAACATATTCCTTCAATATAATCCATCTAGGATAATATTGGTAGGGAACTGTCACGCTGGACAATATTCCTAGTGACACCGTTTGGTGTCAATATCATGCAACGGGCTACCCCGTTATGTAACCCTCCCTAAACCATTAATCACCCGTTAACTGAATAAGAATTAATAAAGACAGGGTGACCACCGGTCGATCACTCTCGGAAAGGGAGAACTTGCTGCTCAAATACCGTTCATTTTTTTACCAATCCAACGCATGGTTTCAAAATCAAAGCGAGTTACTACTGTCGCAGCAAGAAAGGCGGCTGCACGCATTCGTGCAGCCGGAGAGAGCACTTCTCACACCTCAGCAGCAGGTGATTTGTCGCCTGCTGTTGTGAAAAATCCACGTGGTGAGTCACCACGTGCAACAGGTACATGCACTGCGTCTGCAGCGGGTGCCGCAAGTCGTAAATCTAGATGAGTCGGAAATAGAGCTCATCGATTCTGGCGAGTCGGATGATGCATCCGACTCGAAGGCGACACCTCACGCCTCCGGATCATCCGGGGCGGATACTACAAGAGCTAGGTTGACTGGCTCTGGGGAACGTGGCGGCATCATGTCTGAGATTTTCGGATCGAGCGATTCTTCCGATGATAGGACGCGTGGTGATGGTAATGATGCACCAATACATCATCATGAGCGAAGTAACTCGAGGGATCAAGCTGTCACTAGTGTCAGTGCTCATGCTGACATTAATTAAGAGGCCAGGTACCAAAATTCCTACGCCACGTTCCCATGTGGAGTCTCGTTGGATGCCGTTATCCAAAGAGTTGGACCGGTCGGCCGGCATGACTACCGATCGAGATCGAATCCCGTTGTTCGACTGTAAGAGGAAGTATCCTTCTAATTCCTGATTCCAGCAAGGAAACTATCCGTGCTGAGTAAGAATTCTTTACCGATGCATTTTCAAACATCGGTGGTACAAGGGGTAGCCGTGTTCGAGACGGTAAAGCCTTGGTGCAAGGATGGAATGCCCTTTTCCATAGCATCGAGTTTATTGGTCGTGAGGCCTGGCTCGGTAAACTTGATGCAGCTCGCATCAGGTTTAAGAAGCGCAACCCAGTCGGGGTGCAAAACAAGTTGCACTGGCTGTCGAGAGAGGCAGGATTAACCTGTCTCTCTTGGGGTGATTCGTGTCTAGGTTGCATGGACAACTCGAATCGTGTCTCTAGGGAGGCCTACCTCCATATTGTCCCTACTTAAGGACGCGTATCTCTTCTGAGATGGACGAAGAGATTGACACTTTGCAATCCCAGTACTCACGTTCGGGGAGGTCTTTTTCCGACGGCCCTTCTTCGAATACAGCGGGTTGGTCTCGTTAAATTACTCCACGAGACCCAGAACGTCAACAATCAGCTGGACACGAGGCTCCCAGCTTCCCCAAGCTGGTGGATAGCCATTCCAGTGGACGAGATAATTCGTCCGGACGCCATTCACGTCGCGGTGGCTCAAAATACGCTCCACTAGAAAGCGTTCACCACCGCTTGAGTCCACCAAAGGATGTGGTGGCGGCAGGAACACCTGATCCGACTCAAGGGTCGTATCAGCTTGATGTTCAGGAGCTGAACCGTGTAACGGAACAGTTGCAAGATGACCTGGATCACGAACGGAATCGGCGTCATGAGCTCCATGATCTTGTAAAGGATAATTACAATTACTTAGCACACGATCGTTCGGACGATCGTGCCACGTTTGCGTTTGCGCAACTTGGGAATGAACGTTCGGTTCATTCTCTATGTGACGAGATGACTGCAGCCCGTCGAGACATCGCTCAACTGCGTGAGCAGGTCGCTTCGCTAGTCGACCAGACTGGCTCGTTGAAACGGGACCACTCGAAGGTGGTCTCGGCTTTCGACTGCAGAGGTGTTCTTCGCATCTCCAAACGGGCTTGTACTGATAGTACGGGCGGAGACGACCAACGTAAAACGTAAGATGCGTACGCATCTTACGGGGCAGTTCAATCGTGTATGCGTTGTCCATTCGGCGCAACACACGAAATGGACCGTTGCACTTGGGCAGTAATTTACTGCTGCCCACGTTTGTCACCGCATGTTTCGGTAAGTTTACTGTAGACAGAAAAACTAGGTCTCCTTCATCAAATGAAAGAACATTTGCTCTTTCATGTTTGTCCGAATTTCTTTCCTGTCATTCTAGTGCATCTGAAATAGAGTCTTGAACGAAGAGGACAACCGCATCGCGAGTCAGCAGAAATTCCTCTGCTAATTTTTCCTTGTCAACAGCAGTGCGCTTCGTGTGCACTGCTGGAAGAACGCTGTCTTAACCAGTGAAAGCGTCATCGGCCTCACTTTAGCAGTCATCTGTGATGATAAACATACCGGCATCGTCGTCATCATCATGATCATCGATATCGATCGCATTAAAATCGGCATCCATCACATCGACACCATTGTCGACGGG